TATTCAAGCCCTAGTACACGTGCTTGTGTTTAGTGAGTTACATTAAAAAGATCGCTAGAACGCTTATACAAGATGGGATTACACTGCTGGGGAGCCTGTCCTATGATATGTAAAATTTGAGACTGAATAATTTGAATAAATTTAGGATATTATGGTCATGGATATCTCTGGAGCATAGCTAGACCATTACGAAGGATATTGAGGATAAGCGCAAAGAAAAGAAATAAGAGTCAATCAATGTAACCCCCTCTTGGACAGGGGATGAGTCGAAACAAAAACACCTCGCTACTTGAGATTGATTTGAGTCGTGTAAGTTACCTGCCCAGATACAGAGATTTCAAGTTGTTGCATATCGAAATGAAGTACAACGGTGCGTATGTACTCAATATTTTATTTCTAAATTTTCACGATCCGTGTTGATTTTCTTTGCCCAATTATAAGATGTGGCGAACTTGGTTTATTCACTTTTGATGAGTTTCATTGTATCGCAAGTATTGAATTGACTGTAATCTTACTATTGATGACTAATTAATTATTTTATTTCAACATAAGGTAGTCTGACTGGTGTCATTATTTATCGATCAAATAGTCACATGATGGGATTACAAAATAATCTGGGGACAATAAAGTTAGGTAAATACCTACATTAAGAATTCGAATTCTTAATAAAACGATCGTTTTATTACTTTCGTCAAATTTGTGAAGAAGATACGATATGGATTCGCGTTTGTGAAAATGGCAATCAGTTCGTCCAGCTTATTAATGAAACAATGATCTAATACCTCTTAGCGATCTGTTCCAAGGTTCTCTGGGTTGCAACCATAATTTTTGAGTCCATTAGGTCGAAAGTGAATGGTAGCCAACGGGGTTATATACTAAGTTGTTTTGATAAGAAAATTATCATATACATCCGCACTCAGTGTCTTGTCATAGACATTAACTATTTTACGCCAGTTGTCAGAAGTTGATCATGCTAGTGGAGGGTTCATACCGAAGCAATACTTATCTAATACTATTTATCCCAAATAACTCGTTTATAGTAATGTGGACGAATTCAAAATGTTATTATTTCTCCATAAGTGTAATAATCGTGTGAAACCATAATACAGAGACCAATCGAATTGGACTGTTTTGTGCTGTGTGCAATTTATGCTAAGTGCACCACAAACCTTTATGACTGAAAACTGACAAAGTACTAAGAAATGCTGTTTTATTTTGGAGTTACGGTGGTTACGCTAATAATCGTTCCCCTAGCCAGGTTCCGACCAATTTCTATAAGGAATTATGTTAGCTAGCAGTCTCATCGCTTATTTGAGTTATAATCCAGGAGTCATTATACTGATTCTAAATTTGTTTTAGTCATGATATGGACTTAGAAGTCATACATGAAAACGGTTGTTTATATGCTAGTCGATCCAAAAAAAGAATATTGACATGTGATATTTTCTGAACGGGAGACTATCAGTAAGGAATTATGGAGATTGCTGAATCTCATTGAGAACCTAGAGGCACATAACACCGTTGGATGATGACTGAGTGCATTGGAGGTCGAGCGTTTGCGTGCAAAACTGAAGGTTGTATGCTCGATTCCTGCTTGTTGAGTTGCAGATGAGTTCCTTACTAGGACAAAACAACTATCCAGTCACTACAGTCTAAACTAGATAGGTTCATGGTTTCACTGAAAATTGATCTCCGTGAACGATGAGTAAAATTCAATCAATGCCAACTTTGTATCGTTCCATCAAATAACATGTATATTGACTGTATCTAAATACCATGATAAATTTCCTTAATATCAAGAAATGGGTGCGGTTAGTGTTAAACTGATCTATACGTTTCGAAGTCTTGGAAGCATCATGAGAATTCATTCTTTGAAGTTAAAATCTGGCGACTGAATTTATTACTATATTTAGACAATAACATTCCTGTCCCTAATGTCGAGAAATGAGTATAGTTATTTTTCAAGCTGATGAAGCAACAGATTAGATTTGAATTCAAATGCTATTATGAAGGGTTTTGATATAATGTACCAAGTTCCCCCAGTTACCATTACGCATATTTCCATTTATTACAGATGTTGTAGTTTCTTCAACCATAAGCTAATCCAACACTAACATATAGGTTCATTTATGTAGTTTTGAGTTCCATTTATACAGTTTACAAATTACCCAGGTGCTCAGAACGACAATAATATATCAGTATTGCAATACGAAACCTAAAAGCTGAAAATGCAACACCGTCAAACAAACGAACACTCATTTGACCGATCCTGGAGCCCATGTGCACCATTGGTTTGAAATCAGAGTTTTCCAACTCCCCTAGGTGAACCCCCTCCTATCAATCAACTCGATTTATCTGCTGGACATTCGCTTTCCGTCCTCTCATTTTCGTAAACAACACCCCCGCCACGAGAAGGCAGTGAGTAGGACTTCCCTGACAGAGGCTGTATACGCGTGGCCGTGTGAGAGCATTTCAAGGAGGAGGGCCATCCCCACTTTCAGCCATATCAGTGCATTTCGGTGGTAACGTATATTACTGTTCGTTTGCTTAACGGTGTTGCATTTTCAGCTTTGAGTTTTCGTGTTGCAATTCTGATATATTCTTGTCGTTCTGAGCAGCTGGGTAGTTTCTAAACTGTATCAACGAACTCAAAACTCCATAAATAACTTTATGATGCCATGAAAATGGCAAATGAAGCCGCTTGCGTCATTGCGAAACGTCCTGCTTATGAGCACGGGGTTTCTTCAAGCTCTTTACAACTCATCGAAGGCCGTCGGTCTACTGCGGGTGACCGTGAGTCTGACCACAAACGAAGGATGTTACGTAATGAAATTGGGCAAAGCTTGCTTAAGGACCAAAACGCCTGGTGGTCGGAGCGTGCTAATGAGCTGGAAGCAGCAGTTGCATCTGGTAACTAGCGGAAGCCCTTGCAACTTATCCGAGCCACTGGCAACAAGAAGTCTTGTGTGAGCGAAACAATCTACGATGATGATGGGATACCAATCACTAACATCCATAGACGTTTTGGACGATGGGTAGTGTTGTGGATGCGAAGGATAGACCAATAATTATCATGTTAAGTCCAATGGTGTCCTTGGACTTTAAATGGACATTTCCTACTGGTCGATATCTGAATATGGTACAAAATGTTTTCTATTTTTATGGTACGATGTGGTGTGTTTGGTTAGTATATAAATAGAGTATGTCTGGAATACAATGATTCAGAACTCAGAGGCTGAGATTTGTGTTCTGGACTCAACTGGCTGGGATAGACAGGGAATCGGGACCAATCGTAACTTTAGGTTGTCCATTATGTTCGTACGTGTTCACGTGTCATTGAATCGGTCGATAAATACGCTGTTCTCTAGTTTTTCAGTCAAGGACACAACAATTAGCGCAGGGTAAAAATCGACCACAACTTGAAGTCATAACAGGCAGAATTTTTCGAAGGGTAGTTCAACTGGCCTGCTGCTCCGACAACATCGGTCAGACTGTCCTGCCCTCCATGGCCGGTGACGACTGGTCCACCAAATGAGGCGGAAGTCCGCAAGAAACCCCAACTCTTGGTGTCAGCATCTTGAAACGTAGACTTCTGTGGCTTGCACATGTTCTACGAATGTCATTTCAGAGAATTCCACATCGTACATTATTCGCGGACACCGGGACTGGCTGTAAAAGGCAGAGAGGTGGTCAGTGTATGACATGGTGTTGTAGTGTGAAAGAAAGCTGCAAAGGGCTGGCTCCTGTCAGTCCTTCACGACTCCCTGGCTTGGGTCCTAGAGATGGTGCAACAGAGTGGCTAGAGACGTTATCAGATATGGCTCAGAATATAAGCCAGTATCGATCCTGCTGTAACCTTCTTTTACTTTCTACATTTAAAAAATGATTTTTTCTTGTTTAACCGAAAGATTTCTTCTGATTGTACCTTTCCGTTTCGCCCATTATTACAATTATTATTATACTACCTTACACTAATCTGTTCGTCATTGTTTTTACGCTCCTTATCTTCTTTTTTCTCTCTTCGAATTCTCATTGTTTTGTGTGGCGCATATATATTTGGTGCCCTCTTGTACCAATACTTATGTGTTAAAACAAATAAATAACGTTACTCCACTACCTTTTGGATCAGACCTTTAGGTTGAGGCCTCCGGGCGTATTCCCTAAGAAAACCACGTGCTTCGGTTTGGACACCCGAGCAGTACCCGAGCCCTCACACTAAACGAATGATTTGTGTGGCGCATGCCTATTTGGTGCCTTCTTTTACCAATGTTTATGTGTTTAAATAAATACTCAATAAATAGCTTTAGCAAAACTACCACCGAGATTGTTTGGCCTTATTTTGGGGACAAATGAACTTCGAAATGGTTTTAATGATTTCTACCCATAATTGATAGAAAGTTTTTTTCATTATAAAAGTACTCGTTCGACCATTTAATGAATTATGAACCTACAATCGAGCAAATCGGAATCCACTGAAAATCCTACCACTGAAGCTGATACTATTCAGTGAATGTTCTAGCCAAAAGCACTGTACTGTAGTTATTTGTTTATTGACATTTCCGTCATTTCGAAATACGTGAGGAACTCACAAGTACCTAAAGTTTATTCTATAAGCTTCAGGTGAATTTACTCATCAGTTAAAAATGCACTCTGAAATCGATTACATTTTGTGGTAAACCAGTGGCATACCTTTGGATTTAGCATAGATTTATATTTTCAAACAGCATTTTGTAAAACTCGCTTCAGACGAATTTGAAATACTCGACCTTTCAGTTAAAATGTAAGTATTGGTGATAAAAATACAGCTAATTACGAAGTTTCAAAAGACAATTTATCCTTAATCGAGTAACAAACAGGAAAAAATCAGTTTCGTTGTTTATTTCAATAAAATATTTGCATATGCAAGATATAGAACGAAATAGGCATATATTAAATGTTATTTTTTGAACAATAGACAATCGATTAAGGACACAATCCCATCTTATGAATTGTGAATGGATTTACTTCGTTGAATATTCTATTAACCGTTTAGTTTTTGATTGCCTGGATTGAAATTTCAAAAACACATGACTTCTAGTCAATTATATCGAACCACACGATATTGTGAATAATTTTAAGAATAAATATCACACGGTAATGTATCAGATTAGCACTACATTTATTTATACTTGTTCCCACAACATACTGCAAAAGGGTCTAATAATATACGATAACGACTAACTCAGTATTTTTACGGACCCAGATGAGAGTTCTATTTAATGAAGACGCTAATAAAAGTTTTATGGACACCTTAGATAAAGACGCTAGAATACTTGAGGTGGACATCTCTCCATATCAGTGATGGATTTTGTTTCACGACAAGTATGTGTCAATCTTGACTGGAAGAAGTGAGATTTTGAGAGGTGGCTTAGTGGTTAAAACGCTTAGCTTTCAAGCAATATGTCTCAGGTCCGAGCCCCATCTTCTTTAGTTCTGTCTGTATACCCTGGTATAAAAAGCACCTCTTACAAAACAATTGTGACTCAAAGTTGAATACACTAATCTATACTTTGTCAATGACTAAGCAAAACATTTGAAGTAATTGACAGCTGACCATTTAGCTGTAATAAGATTATGCCTGACGAAAGTTCAGCACGATTTTACAAACCTTACTTGATTTGTAAGAACTTGCGCCATCTATGGTACAAACAAGATATTCACGCTCCTATCTAAAAACGAGTACACTACTAGGAAGTTCACTTTCTTTTACTTCGTAAAATATGACTTTCCAAAGTCAAAACTATTCACAGGTTATTAGTATTTGATCATCTGTTTTAGAAGTATGGCTGGCATACATTGAAACAACTGAGTACGCAATATCGAGGTTAGACGTAGAGTACTAGGTAGTGGTGGTAGATCGGTTGAATAGGCTACGAATTTACATCGGTTAAAGTAACTAGGACTTATGTTATGAACATTGAACTGCCAACTTTTAAACAATGTCGACTGGGGTTCTAAGTGTGGCATCAACCCATTAAAAGTTACTGACTACAGGTTTGAGATGTTAGGTATTTTTATGGTATTTGTGACCGACTGTTGGAGAATTTAAGTAAGATACATCCGGATCGGTCTCATTCATTTAAATCCACTTACTCATAATTTTTCCTGGATTCCGAGTTCCAGTATTATTTATGATTGCACAATACTTGATTGATTAAATTTAAATCAAGATTAGAATATACATTCATAATTGAGACACTATTTATACTTATTTTTAAGTAGGAAATTATTATTTGTTAACTATTGAGTTAACAGCAATCCAATACAGGTGTTCAAAACATAGTATAATTACTGCTTAATGAATGAGTGGAACTTAAAGGATGCATACAACAAATCAACTATTCAAAAACAAAAGGCTATCAAATAATATATTGGCACTCACTGGATGGATGTGATGGCATTAATCGGAAGATTAAAATATATATGTTGTGAGACATAAAGTGATAAATCTAGAATTTATGTTTCAAGAACTTCCGCCAGATTCTCACTGGGTTGATAATCATTAGACCAACCCATATGAGCGATGCGCTGAGCCGTGACGCAGCAGTTTCTTTGAGTCGTTCCATCAGGTTTAGGTGATTGATAATAAGAAAGAAATCCAGTGACTAGTAAACGTTCACCAAGTTTAACATCTCTAAGAGCGCAGACCAATTTAGGACTGAAAACATGGACTCTATTCGATGTGCTGTACAATACCATTTTAAATTTCAAATCGTATTCATCCGCATCAGAAGTTTCAGTTAAATATTTATTTTCAGCATTTATATATCTCGGTGATTGGGTTTTCAAAAATATCAGAGTCCAGTTGCGATCTGGAGTTTTTTGCATTGGGAATGTCTTGAAGAAAAAGAGAATACGAATCAAAAATATTAAACGGATATAGGATTAAATAAAAGGAATTTATTTTGGAAAACGAAAAGACAAGTTAAATAGTATCTATTTAACTCTAGAACACATTATTTTCGAGCTATCAGCAAGAAATACCTTAACGAACAAGGTAAATTAAACTCACAGTCGCCTTACCGAGTAATGTATATACATAAATAAAGTTGCTTTCTCTGAGCTAGATAACTTGATTTCTGAGTTTTCATTGTTATTATGGACATCTCTAATGTTTACTCCATGCAGAAGCGAGTGTTTTAATTATTCCAGTTTATTCTGATGACCCTGTTTACGATCAGCTGATTTTGTAGGCTTCGTTTACCTTTGCATCCATGTTGAATATCTTGATTAGATGACTTCATACATATTGCTTCATAGACTGAGTTTACGTTGATATACCTGTGTTAATCACTAATTGATTTGAATACCATGCTTCTAAAAATTTTCTAGCATCTTGGGGTTTCTTTGATCTAAAATGTTGAAACTTCTTCAATCGAATCCGCGTCCACGGTTGTCTGCATACATTGGTATTGATGATATCCTTTAGTGTCGCCTCAATGATAATCTGTTTATGCATAAGCATAAGTATAGGGGGCGCCCACCTTGTGCTGGTGCGATTCGTTTTGTATGTTACAACAAAAGCCAAGAAAACAGCCAATAACAATCAAGGTCGTCGGAATAAACTGATACAAAACCTGTGGGATAACTAAAAAGCGCATTTTTACATGGAGTAGACACTGAATTTGACCATAATGGCAATTAAAACTTAGAAATTAAGCAACTGCATTTGCCAATTTACATGTACATGCCAAAGCATATTGGAAGAACGGAAAAAGAGTACAACTTCTAAAGAATTTGAAACTGAGACGCAATGGTTCTATACAGTGCAATAGCTCGGCATTCAACTGATACAGGATATACCATTGAAATTCCCCAAACCTTCAATAATATTAGCAGACACAGCGTGTCTCCGGTTTGCCGAAGCAGCAGCAATGAAGAAACTCAGACCGATTTATGTATTCAGAAAGAGGTAGTAATCAACTTATCACTACTAAGTTAAATAGTTATGTGTTGTTAATATCATTATTATGATTATTTTATTAGTTTTTGTTATGTGATATGATCCTCGTCAAATTAATTTTTACCTTATGTAGACCGAATTCACTACATCATTCATCCATTTTTTCACTTACTTAATTCTCTGCAAACTCTTCAAGTCCCGTGAAATTGCTATGTAACCCATCGTACTAATTTCTAATTTTGGACAATAATTGTAATCTTATGTAAACTCTTCACAAACTTTGAATTACCACACAGTCTATCAGATCAGTTTCCGGACTTCATTTAATTACTGCCTCACCCACCCCCTATGTTGTATGTACTCCATCTCCAAATGACTTCACACTTGTTCTTACAAATATAGATATCAATATATATGTAATCATCATTGATAATTCTTATGATTTAGTTCTTTATGTTATCAATTTTGTGTCACAATATATCATAACTCAATGTTACATCTTAATGCATATATGGTTGTAAGTAGCTGAAATGTAGCAGAAAATTGGAAAGACTTTTTTCCTAAGATGGCATGGCAAGTAAATTTATTGAAAACAAACATTGATACTAAGGGGCAGAGAAACATACATGCGTCACACAATAAAAATGGGGTAGTTAAGAGGTAAAGAAATGAGTATAATAAAAAACGAGCGAAAATAAATGGAAATTAGTGCATGAGTGACAAGATCCACCATGTTTGCACAAATAAAACGTTCAGTTCTATAGAAGATTTAAGAACAAAGAGAGAGGATGATATAGACTCAGATCACCATCTGATGGTGGTAAAATTAATACATAAGCTAAATAAATACTGAGTAACTTAGCAAACACCACTACAAAGGTTAAATACAACCTTCTTTCAGGATTCTAACAAACTAAACAAATTCCAGCAATAAGTTCCAAGTTTTACAAGATTTACTCAAGGAAGAGAAAAATAATACAGAGAACGACTGGGAAAGAATTAAGGATGAATCAACAACATTCAAGTGTTGGGACGCAGGAAGCATCAGCACAAAGAGTAGCACGTCTGCAGATGCTCTGAGTGAGATATACATTTTCACAATCCGTTTTTTATTTTATCATATTTACTCTTTTCCAATTATCTCACAATTATTAATTGGCAATTATTACAACTTTTAATTAACGAATTCGTGATAGCTATCAGCAACAGGATCTAAACTTTACAATATCTACTCATGAGAAACCACTGACGACGACAATTAGAAATGGATTAAAGTGGCACTAACTTCAACGTGTCAGGAAGTTCTGGGCTTCAAGGAACACCATCATGAAGAATGGGCCTCCATCGAAACCCTCGTCAAGATTCAAGAAGGGAAAAACGAGAAGATAGCAATTAACAGCAGCCAAACAAGAACAGAGAAAGTCAAGACACAAGCTGAATAAACCGAAGCAAACAAGTAAGCGAAGATCATTAGAGCTGACAAGCAGATATACGTCGAAGCTGCAAGAGAAGGAAATATGAAACGTTTATATAAAACAATGAAGAGACTCACAGAGAAATATTATAAACCAGAGAGATTATTCAAAGACAAAGAAGACAAGCCAATCACTGAAATTTAAGAACAGCCGGACAATTGCGTAGAGGGCTTTGAAGAACTCTTGAACAGACCAGTCTCACTGAACACACTGGACATTGAAGCAGCACACACAGACATTCCTATAGATATCACTCAACCAACAATGGGAGAAATCAGGATGGTTATCAGACAAATGAAGAGTGGGAAAGCAGCAGAACCTGACGAAACCAGCTGGAACACTGAAATCAGATGCACTACTATCGGCACTAAGAAAGTCTCTCAACATTGTTGAGCCAGATGAAAGGTTCAGTAGACGCCCGACTTCGAGACTAACAGACCGGATTCCGTAAGGATCGGTTGTGCACAGACCGAATCGCAACACTACGGATCATCGTTGAACAATCAATTGAATGGAATTCGTCACTATACATCAACTTCGTTGACTTTGAGAAAGTATTTGACAGTGTGAATAGGGGAACCTTCTCTAACACTATGGTGTACCTGAGAAAACCGTCAACATCATGCGAAATTCATACAACGGACTACACTGCAAAGTCGTGCATGGAGGACAGCTGACAGACGCATTCCAAGTGAAGATCGGTGTTAGACAAGGCTGCTCACTCTCTCTCTCTTTCCCTTTCATCTGGTGGTCGACTGGATTATGAAGACCTCCACATCTCAGGGAAAGCGCGGAATACAATGGAGAGCTTGGATGCAGCTACATGATTTGTTCTTTGCAGATGACCTAGCTCTCCTATCCCATACAAACCAACAAATGCAAATGAAGACAACTAGTACAGCAGCAGCCTCTGAATCTTTAAGCCTCAAAATACATAAGGGAAAAAACCAGGAACCCCAAATACAACACGGAGAAGACCAACATAGTCACACTTGACGGAGAAGCTCTGGAAGTGGAGACGTTCGTGTTCCTGGGCAGTATCATTGGTAAACAAGGAGGATCTGATGCAGAAGTAAATGCGAGGATTGACGAAACAAGAGCAGAATTCCTACAGTTGAAGAACATACGTAACTCGAAACAATTGTCAGCCAACAACAAAGTCAGAATCTTCAATACGAACGTCAACTGAACGGAGCTGAAACTTGGAGAAATACTACAACCATCATCAAAAAAAGTCAGTCAGTCAGCTACAACGTAGGACCAGGCACATATGTGCATCGGTCCAGGTTGCCGTACCGCATCAGCACAACAAGATGAACACCGGATTCATAACAGTGGTTAGGTAAAAGGTGGTAATATATAAGAGAAAGATTGCATATAGAGATATAGTACAAGAAGAAAGAATTGGTTAGTAGAAAGAAAGATATGAAGCGCTTTTAATCTCTTAGTTTAAGGGAAGACAGAAAGTGTATACACCGACGCCATTGTGATCGATTCTGAGCCATGTCACCAAGAGTCTCCAACCATTGGTTACGATAGTCACGCAGACCCCAACCAAGTAGTCTGCATCTACCAACATGGCTCAGACTAGAAGTTAGTGACTTCAAGCACTGATGCCACGTTTTGGTTTGGCCGCCCCTAACTTTCTTCCAACCATTTCCAATACCGGATAGCATTGCACGTCGTGGTAATCGGTGTTCAGGCATACGTAACACGTGGCCCAACCATCTCAGTCGATGAAGATTCATAACCTCATCAACTGATTTACCATCCTTTCCTAATACCCTGCGTCTAACCTCACTATTACTTACCCGATTATCCCAGCAGACGCCAGCAATATTTCTAAGGCATCTGTGGTCAAATACTAGTAGCTTACGAGTGTCTTCTACTCTTAATGGCCATGTTTCGCTACCGTAAAGTAAAACAGAACGGACTGCCGCACAGTATACTCGTCCTTTTATTGATAGACGGATATCTCGCCTTCGTCACAGGTGACGTAAGTTGGCGAAAGCCGAACGAGCTTTTCGAATCCGTGCTGAGATTTCGTCCGATACCAACCCATTAGGGCTGATCAGACTTCCAAGATAAGTGAAGTTGTCAACGCGTTCGACTACTTCACTCCCTATCCTTAGTTCAGGTGTTGACGCAGACCAGTCCTGAAGCAACAACTTGCATTTAGAGGGAGAGAAGCACATTCCAAACATCCTGGCATTGTTGCTCAGTGCTACCAGAAGACTCTGTATTTTGTCAGCGTCTTCACCAAACAGGACTATGTCATCTGCGTATTCTAAGTCGATAAGTGGACCTCCTGGATGGAGATCAATACCCGAGAACTCAGTCGACGAGAAAGTTATTTCCATCAGTAGGTGTATGATGAAGTTAAACAAAAATGGGGAAGTGGACATCCTTGACGGACACCACTTGAGGTTGCAAAAGTAGATGACAGTTCGCCATAAGCT